AATGGGCCTAGAGCCCAGTCCTAACATACGATGCTACAACAACTTATATACTCGTCAGGGGTTCTTACAAAAAGCAAATCGCCTCCTTCAGATGGCGAAAATCGACGCCTTCTTTGGCAGTCTTCTAACTTGTTACGCCGTGTGCAGAAACCAGAGACTTCGTACGCTTCCCAATATGTTTGTGATCGCACTTGTGTGAGCGATGTCCTCATGTCCATCGAAAACACGATCGATCCGCTATAAGTACTTATCGATCGACACGCCGGGGTAATCAGATATTTGCGAAGTTTTTAAAAAGTTTACTGGTACCAATAAAACATTCTTTGCAAAAAACTGTAACAGTGACAATTTTATTAACTGCTAAAAGATAATTCAATCCTATACTAGTAAATTGAAAACTTGCAAAAAAGGAAATGCAGTTTTTCGCCCGATTTGTTTACTAGTATATTAGATGTATAATCAAACTAGTAAATGAAAAACTGGCAGAAAAGAAATGGAATTTTCCGCCCGGTTTGTTTACTAGTATATTGCAAGTATATTCAATACTAGTAAATGACCAGCTGGCAGAAAAGAAATGGACTTTTTCGCCCGATTGTTTTACTAGTATATTAGATGTATATTGAATACTAGTAAATAACAAACTGGCAGAAAAGAAATGGACTTATTCGCCCGATTGTTTTACTAGTATATTAGATGTATATTGAATACTAGTAAATAACAAACTGGCAGAAAAGAAATGTGCTTCTTCGCCCGATTGTTTTACTAGTATATTAGATGTATATTGAATAATAGTAAATGACACTTGTCCTCTCTTTATGAAGGGAAAACCAGAATTCAAAAAAGTCGCTTAAATCAAGTGAAATCAGTAAAATAACCACACCAGGGGCAAACAACGCGCGTATGGAATAAGGTACGCCATTTTTATTGAGAATTTTCACTTTTAACTACCTCTATGGATATCTTGTAGAAAATCCCATATAAACCCTTATAATTCGATGCCATATTGTGTTGCTTGTGTGGTTCAACAGAGAGCTTGGGCTGCCTGTGGTAAGATAATACGGTTGTTGCCTCTGATGGCTGGCGGTGAAAATGGTAAATTGTTTAGTGTTGCATTGATTTAGCAAAACCTTTTAAATGTACAAGGAAAACTGTGTTCCGGAATATCTATGTTCAGTTAGGAATTGACATGTACTTTAATATCTCTAGGAGAGATTTCTAAATTAGGTTTTTGTCAGATTCGCACGCCGTGACACGTAAATTGCCATCTTCAGCTGGTTACGTTGTATGAAAAGAAGAGATGTGAAATAATTTCATGTCAATTACATTAATTTTCTGACTTTTCGTAAGTTGAAACACACAGCAAAATATATTTCTGATAATCTGATCACTTCATTCAATTTTGTCTGTGAAAAATTCCTGCGGACTTTGGCGGGGTTCGCCAAAAAGAACGACAGTAGTATTTTTAGCGCTTCTATATCTAGGATTCAATTTCTTTGTGTAATTTAAATGTTGCCGTTTGTTCAGTGTCCTTTTACGTAACATGTTCTTTACTTTTCTCAATTTTCCGTGCTTTTCACGAAAATCGCCAAATTTAAGGACTTTAAGCTAATAATAGTAGTAGTGGAACTGTATACTACATACAAAAATAACTCCTTGCAGAGGTCTAGAAACGTTTGTTCCTTGTATTCGATGTTTGTTTTCCGCTATTTTAATTGCATAAAATCTGTATCAGAGCATAAGCTGTAAAAAAGCTCTTTCAAAACGCCTATGCCCTTTCGATATCTGAAGGTCTTATCCTGTCCATCTGACGCTGATGAACCACCTTTCACTACAAAAGCACACAGAGGAAAGGATAACCAAGATGACCAGAGATAACTTAGCTAAGGTCGAAGTTCGATTGACCAATGCAAGCAAAGGTAATTTTGTTCAAGGAATCGTCACTGTATAAACTCCAATGTCCGTGCTCTTCTGCTTGCGCTAGAGTCACCGGCCTTTGAAGACGTGTTGTGCAGAGCTGTGCATATGCAAACGCTCCATGTACCTTGCAAACTTCTCAGATAGGATGGAAGTGGGGTGCGATCGGTTACTGTACATGTAGTGATGTTTCATTTAATTTGATAATTCCTATTTTCTGGAGAGGAAATTTGCTTAGGAGTAAACAGCGAAAGTCCTTCGATGTAGTGAAAGAAGAACGGAGTCTGATGATAAAAGGAAAGTCCGCAATCCATTAGTGTTTTTTCCGGCCAGCGTAAAAATGTTTTGATCTGTTCTGTGATTGAATTAAAAAAATTGGACTTTTCCCGGCCTAAATTCTTTAAGATGGCCTGGTCACTGAGGTTCCTGCGGTGGTCTGAATTTGCGGTAAATTCAACTGCATTTCAATCACAAAGTCGTGATAATAATTATCTTATTGACCAAGCCTCCTCGGGACCATACTACTGGAGCAAGAGAAAATGAGATCATGGTCTTTGACTGGAGTCGATAGGAGAATACAGTAAACACCCGCATATAAGAACACATGATTTCGGGGTTCAGGCTGATCTAGTTCTTATTTTGTCGGATGCTTAGTGAGAAATTGGCCTGAAGATGTTCTTAATATGCTCCTAAACTTTGTTTCAGAAATACTACACATAACATGTTATTAGAGGTTTAGTTAGCATATTTATTTTAAATAAATAAGGAAGAAAATAAATCAGTAAATCAATAAATAAAATAAAAATCTGTCAGCTGGTACACTAGTTAACATTAACGAGTAGAAATATAACATTAGTTTTAACATTTTTTCTTATTCCAACACCCTCCCTTATTATATAAGGGCATGTTTTATTTTTCAGGCTGAACTGGTTCTTATATCTATATGGATGGTGCTTTATGGGCCAAATTTCAGCTTGATGTTCTTAATCCATTTGTTCTTATATGCGGGTGTTTACTGTATCTGTTAACGTTCGCGGTCTTACGGAATCCTGGGGTTCTCAACAAAGTTCAGTAATGTTACGGCGAATCTGTGTCCAGAGGTTCAAACCCTTCCCACTTATACCGCCACCATTTTTGACATGAAAGTTCTCATAAAATGCTAGCCCTTTGGCTATTGGTTAAGATATATTTAGTTCAGCTCCTTTCTTTTGTGCGGAGAGAACCCGCGCAAGGAATTTTTCATTCGTCTTTATAATACAGTTATGTGATGCTCCGCTCGACCATAAAGTGAGTGGGAGTTTTTCTACATACTAGTTCATTACCCTCAGCGTTCTGAGTAGCTATCCACTTGTGCTCCTGAGTGGAGAGAGGCACTGTGAAAGTTACTTTTAAAAACAGCAGGTCTCGAACAAGGACCGTGTTGGATCTCAGATTTTTTCTCATGGATAGCAATAAGCTTTAGTCTGAAGTTAAGATTGTACCATACCATGGAAACGATCGTTCAGCTTTGGAATGTTGTCTTTCTCTGGTAAAACATCGTTTTAAAAAATAGGTCAACTTTGAACAATTTCACGATACTATCAGTTTGAAACCTTTCAAAACATCCTATATTTCTTCTCACCCACTAAATTTTCTTTTGTCGATGGAGAATCTTGGCTTTCATTTTCGTCGTTACTAAGCAACCGCTACAAATCAAATTTTAATTTTAATTTATTTCAAATACTTTTGGTGACAATTTTTAAAATTCAGAAAACTTATTATCCTTGCATGTCAAATGTTTTGTTGCTCATCTGACAATTCAGATGTAAAACGATGCATCATTCACTGATAAGAAATATAGATAGGGAATTATTATTTCTGTTTCCTCATTATAAACGAAGAAAAACGTTTCCTTCTATGTTGTGAAATTCTTTTCTCTACTCTCCCCACCCCTATCATCAAGATACACCAGCTGGTGTGTTGATTGGTTGACTTCAATGACGTGCCTCTTTTCAACCAATCGATTTCCCGGCGAGAATAGAGAAGATTTTCTGTAGGTTTGTAATATGGAGGAGTAATGGCGTTTTCCGCCCAGATAGATCATGGGCAAAATGAACGAAAGGACGCAATTTTGTGTGAAATTAGTAACGAAACCTCGAAAGATAAGGGGAAGGTTTGTGCTTGCTTTGTAACTTTTTATTGCGCTCCCATTTGTGTAATTGGCAAGCTGTTTTGTGTGCAAAATTGCGAGGGAGGGATTGCATGTTCGCGTTCGGAACTTTAGCAGACATACTCCAAGGCTTTCCCTGCTTTTGTGTTCTGCCATTCTTCCATTTTGTAACGTTGTACTATAGAATAAACGAGAATTGAATCAAATTATTTTACCTTTTTCCGGAATTAAAACCAGTTTGTGCCGAATCCTGCCGCCAAGCCTTTTGTACCTTCCAACTTGAATTCAACATTGGGTCGCTCTAACAGGACATGGACAACTATCGAAGGACAACATTCTAAAGTAAGTAATCTTTCAGCATTTTTCTTTTGCTTGAGTTTAAAAGTTGTATTAGGCTGAAATTTGAAAACAGTACCAGTTGCTAACGTGATTTCGGTCCCAAAGCGTTTGACTTTCAGGTCACAGCGCAAATGAGCTTGCTCTCCGTTTCAGGCATTGGGTCGCCTATATTTGTAAAGAAACGAGAGTGGGCAAGTAAACGGACTAAGGTTTTTTGGATTATTTCATTGTATGGGAAAGGTTTGAGGGTTCAGCTTATCTGCCCGATGTGGACATAAATTTGGATTAGCCTTTATCTTTATGTTATATTTCGATATATATTTTTTGGCATCGGCAATCATTCGAACCTGTACACAATTTTGAAATAAGCCTATGCTAACACAAGAACTTGAATCGATCGATTGTAGCTGCGTTCAAGTGTTTTTTATACAATCGTAAGCTGGCCTTTCTCTCGATTTCTGGTATCCGCTTTTCATTTTTAGGTACATCATTTGACAATTTTCTTTTGCGATAAATGGCTCAATGGTTCCAAAAATAATATCACGAAGGGGTTTATTTGCTGTTGTATGGCCGTCGTCCAGTTGGTTTGTCATGGATTTGCCCTGCGACTGATTTTATTCCATTATTTGGATAACATCAACCTATCCTAAATTTCCTTTTTTTTTTTTCGGCAAGAAATCGAAGAGAATTGTGTTGTAGTTTGAACCGGATTTTAACAATGATTTTACTTAATGTATGTTTCGTGTTATGGTCACTGTGCATTCTAATTATAGAATCGGCGAATCTTAAAGAGGGAAGGATCTATTGTAAATATCACCCTGGGTTCGGAAGTGAAAGGTGCAGTTTCGTGCAAATCTTTCTCAGTTTGATTATATGTGTTAGCTTTCCTTATTTTATTTATTCTTGTTTTGGTCATTCTATATCTGTGGTATTTGTGGTTTAAACTTTATAGGGAAATTTGGAAATAAGTTTCACTCTTTAGCTTTATTGTGTATATCAGAAAAGATTATGGTTTTCGCTAATGAGGAGTTTAATTTCTACCTGATTTGTTTTCATCAGAGACAATTTAATATTACAAAAATTTAAAGCAGTCTGCTTTCGTGGATTAAATTGCTCAGGCTTTTTGTGTTTATAGCTTATTTCATATAACATAGTCACAAGTAGAAAACTTTTGTACTCTTAATTGTCAATATAATTTAATAGCATAGTTAACTATGTTAACAGCAACCAAAACTTTGCTTAGTGAAGAGAGATGTTTGGTGCCTAAAGAGAGGGTGGAAACCATGATGTGATGTGAAGATCACACCACCAATATTCACAATGATATATGACCTTTGTTGTCAGCTACCATAGAAACACGTTTTATTCAAATGAAAAACAAGACATTAAAATCTGTGGTCAGGTTGATAAACAAGGTTACATTGCAATTATTATACAACAGGTTTTTAATGCACTAGGTAAGTATAGGCACATGTACAAAGTGGTGTGTACAAGTTAAAGGGTCAAGTTGAAATCAGCCACAAGATCAACAAAATTCTGTAAATTTGAAGAGACTCTGATTATTATGGTTTAATAGGTTTAGTGATGCCATTTGTTGGTGTAATTTTCACACATTGAACAACAGAAGTTTAGAGCTTCTTCAAGAGGAATTTTTTTGACACAGGCTCATGAACATACATACACTTGCAAATCATGCTTGGAGGGTACATGCAGAGGTGTGAAGTACATTAAACTGTTAGAGCCTAGAAGAAAGTCAAATTATGCTGGAATCAGACCCCAAAATGTGTTACGTCACCCATAACGTAGCCAAATCAGGGTTTCATTGGAAGGGTTCCCATGGTGGAGTAAGCAGGCACCCCTCCACACATGAGGGCCAAAGGCCTGAGTCTCCAGGGGGTCTGGTCACTATGCTATAGAGACTTTTAGATCCACATTTCCTGCGAACTGCAAACTGGTGGTGGGTTTTCATGTAAGTCATTTACCTCAAACATTTTATCCTTGATTTTTGTTTTATGACATGTACAAATGCTGAAACTGGATAAAGTAACCCTTTTTCTACAAATTGATTATAATTTTTAGGTAAATAAGCAATTACCTAGCCTTTTGTTATTGTTTGTTGAAATGCACTGATCCTAAGTGGAAATCCAATATGGTGGCAGCTTAAGTTGAATGTGTGTTTTATGATGTTTTATTTCTTTAGAAAGCTACTACAGTCAAACCTCTATTAAACGGTCACCCTCAGAAATAGCCAGGTGACAGCTTAATAGAGGTTGACCGTTTAAAAGAGGTGATCAAAAATTAAGTGCAATATAGGGCAAAAACTGAACAAGAAAACAAAAGTAAGCGTGCAAATTGTCTACATTTATTGTTTGTAACAACTGTAACACGAAATAGACTGAAGTGGTTTTGTTCTTTCCGTGGATTAAGGTGGCTGAACTCAGTTTTTGATACCTGTATATTTCATTCACCTTTTCCTCTGAAGCCCTTGATCCTTTGGTCGCTAAAAATGGCAGCAAGTGAGTTAATAACACAAACTTCAGTTTTCTGATAGTTAAGCTGACGTATGTGCCATTGCCATGGCAACATGAACAAATATAAACAGGCCTTTATAATCAGTTTTGTTTATTTGCAGAAAGTCTGGTCATTAAAGTCTAGTCATGCAACAAGCTTGTGGCAATGTTCACACCATTTTAAAAGTAATTTAACAGAGAGATCTCTAATAATCCCTTGCTCAAGGTTCACTGAAATATCTAGAATTTCCTTTTTTAAAGTTCAAATTTTTTTCAAACCTCCATTTACTTATTTCCTAAAGTATTTTCATGCCAAATTTTATGAAAGTCTAGTGAGTGGTTCTCAAGAAATAGCCGTATGTCCGAGATGGCTCTTCCGCATTCAATTGCAATTTTTCGACTCACTACACATGCTCGGCATTTAACTGGGTTCTTTTGGTAACAACGAAAAAGCTGAGAATTGCTGGGTTCTTTGCATCATTACCTTTTCCAAAATACCTTTGTAATAAAAGGGTAAAACCTGTGTTCAGTTATGAAGAAAAATAGTACAAGTGGCATGGGCATTAAGCAAATAATATGATTGTTGTATTGATGCTGTATTTGTTTTTTGCAATTCTTGTGCTCACTTTGAATAGCATTAGCAAGAGCACACGCGAAAACTGTGTTCAGCCAACTTAAGTAGAGAGGAGGTAGAACATATTATGCTATTTAATTGCTTTTTCTCGCAAAGTTTTTGTAATGTTTTAAATTGGTATTGGTGTTATAATGGGTAAAAAATTATTATGTTATCTTTGAAGGATGTTATTGTAGATGTTGGTGGTAATGGTAATGACTTTTTGAATTATTGTACTGTGGTTGGAAAATCAGTAATTTATCATTATAGAAGAAATAGTGTTAAGTATAAAAAATTATGTGAAGTAATAAATGTCATACTGTATTATATATTGCACAGAAGAATAACATTCTCCATACTTTTCTTAAGAAGTGGAAGTTCAAGCCTTTGACACCTTGATATGTAATTAGACTAACATTAAGTGCAGCCTTGTACATTAACCATGTGAACCAGGTTTTTTTTTAAAAAAGTAGGTACAGTGTATTGTGTGTGCATGTTTGTGTGTCAATACGTGTGGTTACTGTAAATTCCTGTATACTTAAATTCTTGTAAATTTACACTTGATAATGTATAAATAAAGTCGAGAAAAAAAAGTGGTTGCATGTTCTAAAGGGTTCACGCACTAACCAACATGTGTTATAGTAATGTTCATTAGGCTAGCATCTTTGCCTTAAAGCAGATCATTGACAGTTTTGGCATCTCATTTTTAACATGAAGTGAAAAAAATCAGTTATGGTCGTCTGTGATTCGGGACCCTAGTTAACTTAATTTGGTGAAGCACGTCACTGACTTTTGTACAGCGCGAGCTTAATGGAGGTCAAATATACATTAAATATGTGAAGTGAATTCGGGAATTTGAATAGTGACCTCTTAATAGGGGGTGACTACTTACTTAAGAGAGGGTCGCTCAATGGAGGTTGACTGTTTTTCACAATTGGCATTATTCTGGCAATTTTCCATTCATTGACAGGATGATTTCTATTCACTCTGGACAATTTACTCCAATCTAAATCGACTAACGTTGAATGGCAAACGTCTAACCTCAAACTGCAGTTAGACGTTTGCGGTAAACTTGGATCTAAAGGTCTCTAATGATGCCAGAGTGGTCCCTCATTTTCAACAACAACTATAAGAGAAGATATGCATGTATATACATTATCTGTTGTTTTGCTGCTCTTAGGTCTTTGGCCTGGGTGGAAATATTGCCAATCTGAAGGCTGCCAGACAGATAGTATCACAAGCATACATGAATGATCCGCATGGCCCTGTTAACGATCCCAACAGTGCAATACCTCAGGAAGAAGTCAAAACACCTACAACACCACAGTCCAGCAACCACATAGCCCTTCACCTTGTTTCTAAAGTTCTTGAGGATGAAAGTATCTTTAATTTTACAAGCTTTGAGGAAACAACTTCCTGTGTAGAGCCATGTTCCCCTGTTTCTTGTGTTCATCCTGACAGGTAAGGATATTCTGTGAACAGCTTAGTGTGAATCAGTGTTTCAGCCACAAAATTTTTCTTGAGGGCCAAAGTGGCCCCTGAAGACCTTTCTTAGGGGCCAATTTTTTAGGTAAGGGGCCAATACATTGAAAGCTGCAGAAGGAAAAATGCGTCAGGGTACCAAGGAAAATAAAGCAGATTAGGATCTAGGATAAAATTTAATAGTAAGTGCTTTTTGAAGTGTTTCTACTCAATAAGTTTCTTTTGAATCAGATACTAGTATGATGCATGCATTACAAGAGAACAATCCTTAGGCATACATGACATAGTCAATGATCAAGGGTTTGCAATGCATTATAGGGCGATTTCGAACTTGGATGTTTTCGGATGTGAGATAATCAATACAACAGAGCAAAAGGATGGATTGACTTCTTTTCTTATGTTGAATGTTTTAGGAGCAAAGATCTTTCAATATGACTGTCTAGAAGGACATAATGTGTGATGTTGTAAATGAGAGAAGACGTTAGCCCGCAGAATATTAGGCTTTAATTACCAAATCTCTTACTAAGACAAAACATGGTGGCCAACTGCAACCACGAGGCAACCACAACGATTGCAGGTTCATATAATAAAGTTAAATCACACTACATGTACGACACAGTGAATTATAATGTAACGCAACACTCGCAGTGTTCAAGTCATGCAACACTCACAGTGTTCAAGTGTCTAGAGGGCCTTTAAGAGGGCCTTTTGCATTGTCATTTACACCACATGTGACAAAATAACTGGATTGATCGTCAACACAGAAAAATGTAGTCGCCATTATGGTGATTAAACCAGGATTTTTGCCGAATTTTGGTCGCCAAGGATGAAATGTTAGTCACATTGGTGACCATATTGGTCGCAATTTCCAACCCTGGGATGGCTTTTAAAATACTACACCTGGTTAAGCCTGTAGTCTTGTAAAAGGAAATGGCCAAATTGGCCCTTTTGTCGTTTTTCTGGGGGCCATCTCTGATTGCAACGCGGGATTCCCGCAATGGCGCGTTCTGGCGGAAACACTGAGTGAAAGTATGTTGTCTTTGTTAATTAAATCCACTGAGTTTACATGAAATATCTGAAAACACCAAATATGAATGAATATCTGTTCCATCATCCAACCTTATAAAATCAAAAACACGGCACGAGGAGACTCTGTTATTAAATATTGTTTATCAAAAGACACTGCAACTTGGAAAATTGTACAGTGATACTGTAGGTAACTGTCTACAAGACATGAAAACCTGTGACTAGAAATGTTATTTGTCACTTCTAGCAACTAATAATTGACATGTTCTTAGTCAATCAAAGTAGAGAATTGTTGCTGGTATAATGTTAGGCTGTAAATAATCCAATCAAAATTCAAAATAATTGTTTCATGGTCAATACAGAGATGCTGTCTGGTAAATTTGAGGTCCACAGCTCTAATATTCAAACTACAGAAGTGATTTTTTTAAAATAATTGTTACAGAGCAGTGCTGGAAATAATTTTTCTTCTTTAACAGGACATGTGTCCTTTCAAATCTTCATTTTGGTCAGACATCTTATCAATTTGACCGGACACTAATTTGCGTAATTGATTAGCATAATTAATTAGCATAATAAAATTTATTGGCATACTGTAAAGATTTTTAATACAAATC